AGTAGAAAGCATTGGCGAGTTCAAATCCGAATGCAAGAGGGCAGAAAAGCTGTTGAGAGAAAGTAGAAGCAGGCCGAAACACGTAAGCGAGACCGGACAGGAAGGTGAAAATGGTGACGGAGTGCATCGCGAAGCAGTTGAAGCCCTAGCGCCGCGGCATAGCCCAAGCAGCGACAGGCAACGCGGAAACGGCGGGGCTGTGAAATACGACAAAAGATGGGTTAGCACAGGCAATGCAAGTAAGCCTCCGAACGAGCGGCACCACATGCAACCAGCAACATCACGTGTAGGCCAGCCGAAGCAAAAGGCAACAGCAGCAGTAGTAACACCCCAGCACCATACCACCACACCAGCACCAGCGACCGCAGTGAGGACAGCGCAGAGCATTGCTTTCTGCCAGTCACCGTTCCATCTGATGCTATGCTATGTGTGCGGGATGCCGGGAGATTATTTTCTAAAAAATCCAGCGGAAGGCACCCGAGAAAATCGCTGCAGGTGTCCCTTCCACAACATGGTCTGTTTCGCATGCGGCAAAAATGAGAGCTACGGCGCTTTATCCGCATCGGAAAACACCAGGCTGGCGAGGCAAGCCGGGAACCCCTGCCAGACGAGACGTCACCCGGAACAGCAGCAATAACAGCAACAACAACATCAGCAACAACAATGACAACAACATCAACAACAGCAATAACATCAACAACAACAGCAATAATATCAGCAACAACATCAGCAACAGCAACACCAACAATAACCACAAAAGCAACACCAGCCACAGCAGTGACAATATTAACGCGAGCAGCAACAGGCGCAACAATAACACCAGCAACGGATCAAGACATCCCCGAGTACAGAAGCTTAGCACAGAGGATCGCGGACTACCAGCAGAAGCGACACGAGATATTTAGCGCAGAGATTTTTAGAAGGCGAGCGCTCACGAGAAAACATAGAAAGATTCTGATCTTACGCCAAAGGACGAAGGCGTACAGGAGGTTTCAGCAAAAGGAGATCTCAGCGATTGTTTCCCTAGAGCACGATGACAGGATGTTTGCTCGGACCAAGGTCGACAACACCGAAGCAACGGCTCTTCTGGACACAGGAGTCAGCGTCAGTTGTTGTGGGGCTGGAGCAACGAGATTCCTTGAGAATCGAAGACATCGAGTCATTAAGCTACGGAATCAACACGTCAAAACAGCAGACGGAAAGAAGACATCTGTAACGGGACTCATTACCTTACCCTTCGAGTGGGAGGGCGAGACCAGGAGTATTGGATTCTATATAGTACCAGAGTTGCGGCAGCAATTTTATTTCGGCATCGACTTCTGGAAGGTTTTTGGGTTATCTGTCGCCACCAAAGCAGACACTACTAATTCTCCGAGTAAATGCCAAGTTTTAGACGCCATAAGCCTAGGAAACGATAACTCCAAGAGCTACCGAAACTCATCACTTCAACTGACTGATGTAAAGCAAAACTCTCTAGGTGAAGGTAAGGAAACATTGCCACACAACACACGCGAAAAGTTCAGCGGATCTATTGAAATCACCTCGTCAACGTCACCTTTAGGTAATCAGCGTCAACAACAGCAGCAGATCCAGCTCAACAACGCTGAAGCGACAATAGCAGTAGTAAGTCACCATAACCAGCTATTGCTCTCTGCGACAGCTATTAGCGACCGTGCTAGTCATGCTAATCAAAACAAACTGGCGAAACGTACACGCATCAACAAAAATTTAAGTAGCCAACATAGTACACGGAAATCTTCAAGGCCTCATCAACCTGCAACTACCGTAACAACAAATCAACATCGTCACCAATCACAGAAACAACAGCAACTGGAACACTCGACACCAAATTATCATCCACATCAGCACCATCACCATCGCCATAGCGTGCAGGATCAGCAACAATCGCCTTCAACCAAACAACCTGCTGGCAACAGTACTACAGGCGATAATTTCGGCACAGATGCTACCGTAACTGCAACAGCTCAGCATAGTAAATCTCGTTTTCAGCCTGCTCCGCAAGCGTACATAAACCAGGTTCCAATAAATCTAGCATCCAGCGGCCGCTCAACGATGATAAACAGTGAATTCGAATTCTCTACCAACAGGGGTGGTGGAAGTAATAATGATGGCAGCAGTAGTCGAACACCTTTCGACTTGGCCACGGAAGCGTTAAGAGGTTCACGACCCATAGATCGCGAAAGGTTGCTAAACTTGTTGCAAAGAATCGCAAATGGAAATCAACAATATCGGATGCAAAATCAACTACTCAAAGGGTTGCTCGACTTACGGAATGAACAGGTTAGACAGCTTAGTCACAAGGTGCAAGTTCGATGACACCAGCTAGAAGACAGGGCGGCAGCTAGGAGTATAACAAGCCAAAGATATTCTCTTCTCTAAAACCTCTTGAGTATACACCGAATTTGCCCAGGTAGCTCAGTCGGTAGAGCATGAGACTCTTAAACTCAGGGCGTGGGTCGAAGCCACACGTTGGTCTGTAGTAGTCGGTCGTCGAGGGGTATAGTCGGTCTGTCCGCGGACTATTTGGCGTACACATTCCATATCGCAGGCGATATCGATGGGTCCGAGCTGTAACGGCCGCGAACAAACCTTGGGTAGGGTGTCTGTCGGTCTGTGTCAACCGCAAGCGGCGCAATAACGGCATGCCGTTAGACAAATCATGCGATTTTGTGGTACCGCTAATAAATCGCATGATCTTGCGGGATATGTTTATTTTGTTCTTCTCTGATTTCCTTGTTTACAAGTACAGGCAAAATCGTATGATTTTGCGGTACTCCTTTTTTTTCCTTTTGCTTTTGCAAGCATAGGCAAAATCGTAAGATTTTGCGGGATCTATGCTTGCTCTTGTGAGAGTAGCGGCAAGCCGTTATAGAGAGAGCAACAGGAAGAAGAAGAGGGAAATTGAGTAAGAATGAGAAGTCTGTCTGCTTTTGAATTTCAAGATAGCGAGGAGAACTGTTTGGCATCTGGTGAAGTTCGGACGGGCTTTCGAGCTCAATATAAAACGGATAAATAAGAAATAATTGTGAAGACTATCCCTCAAGGGTAATAAAAAGGACTAGCATTAGCTGACTGTGAATATTAAAATTTACAAGGAAGTATGCATTACGATAACCAGCATAAATAATTAATTATCAATACAATAAAAAAGTTCATTAAACAAAAAAAAAAAAAAGAAAGGAAAAAGAAAAAAAAATTAATTAGAAACCGAAAGCTACATGAAGTGGTTGTTTTTTTTTCGTCTTTCTGAAATATGGGCTCAAACTGCAAATTGACCATAAAAAAAATGTCAAAAGAAAAGAAATAAATAGAAAAATACGCGAAAGAAAAATTTTGTGCAATTGAAGTTTGAAATAAATTAACTCGGAAAATATCGAAATTCAGAAAAAAGAATAAATTTTAATTAACTCCTCAAAAGAAGGATAAATTTTAATTAGAACCTCAAAGTAAAGCGACAAAAGCGACGTGAATGACGTCAATGTGTCGTTAGTTAAAATTAGCAAAAGCTAAACCACAAAAATGAAGTCTAAACCGTTTTTTTATTAAAGAAAAGGAAAAAAGGTGGAACAATTAGAAGAAGCATAAGAGAATCAAGGCAAGGGTAATGGCTGCACCGTTCTTTGAATACGTTTTTTTGTCGAACAAGAAGCAAAA